GTTAAGTTTGACAAAAAAAAGAAATATGGAAGAAACATGTAAGGGAGAAAATACTTTTTACAGCACAGTAATACGAGTCAGTTTTGGCTTTATGCCATTACTAACATACACTTTCTCCTTGCTTCTAAATCAGATGTTGGTAAAGACCCTCTTGTAACTGGCAAGCAGGCAGTAGAGATAAAACACACCATGAAAGAACCACGATCCCTCAAAGATAAAGTTCAAACTGCAGGTCACACAAGAGAACTACACCTACGAGATGTTTGCTGGAGGCAGGCAAATGGTGAGTATGGAGAAGTCCCCATCTGTGTTTTATTCTGTTTAAGTTCTTAAGAAAATGTTGCTGTTGATACCAGATACAAACACACCCTGACAGATAAGTTTCCTCAAAGCTAATCTCAGTTTACCTACTACTTGTGCCCCATGAATTCAAAAGAGTAAATCTACCATTCAGTGATCTTCATACTTTCTACGCCACAGCCTGTGACAGCCCATGAGAAATGGTTGTGGTTTAAGTTATTTTCAATACCATTTGAAAAAAAAAAATGGCTAGTCATAGTATTTGATACATCAAAATAGGGAACTAGTCCACGGTTCAATACCCATTTTCATTCTTACTTAGAATGAGGCTATTTTTAAACATGTCAGACTTACTTAAAACTAATTTGACCCATTGTGAAATTCAGTTTTGATATCACAACCTGGGTGAGATTTTTTCTTGATCAGAAATGATTGTGTTGCCTAAGTTGGCTAGCTGAAATTACAGAAAGGCAATCAGTAGCTCTGCTAAATAAAATCTTCATTCTTTAAATGGAAAAAAGTCTGAATAGGAAAATATTTGTTTAGTTTATATATACAAGAAACGTTTTCATTTCTTCTTTCAGAGCTGCCACGAAAGAAGCAGCTGACGTTTCCATGCGGTGTGAAAGTGGAAGTCAGCTTCTCAGCTCTGTTCTCCAATGTACTGGTTGCTTTTGCGACTTTAAAGGCTACGCCTGATCAAACCCAGGACTGTACTGTCACGCTAAGTAGCAACCCTGTAAGTATTTACATTATACTTAAACAATCAGATATTTTATTTCAGACTTTACTGTTATCAAAGCAGGAAATACACAGATCTGAAATGTGAAAATGGCTTACAAAGAGAGTATAAAAAGGTGTGCAGTGTGCACAAATTTATATCTTAAACACACATTACTTCCTTCTTGCCTTCAGTCACAAATATTTGTCAATATTGGATTCAAAAACCGCAGCTTGTATTTACATATATTCCGCGTTGGACGTGATGGAATGTAGTCGGTTTCCGCTGCCGGTCTCTATAATGACCACTAACACCCCCGTCTTCCATGTCTGAGGAAGTCCTCTCTAAATATGGGCTTCCAGCATAGTGCAACCAATGACAAAGCAGGAAATCAAAGCAGTGTCATACACTCCTCTTGTGCAATACATGTATTTGTCTGAATGTGTAATCTCGTATTATACTGCCATCGTGTGGTTAGTTTGTTTTCTGAATTTGCCAGGGGTGATGTAGAGCAAATATTTTTGCTGTAGTTGCTCAACACATGCAATATTAATCAAAATTTGTATGGTTTCATTTCTTAGCCAATGGAAGACATATTTTCCAGGCCGGGTCGCTCGGAGGATATGGACTCACTACTATTAAATGAAACGCTTAACCCTGACTGTACTTTAAGACTTTGTTCTCTCCAGAAACTGAAGGTATGTAGTCACTAATATATATATTTTCTTCACTTTCTGTTAAACATTTTGTTCATTTATTTTACAATGAGTGTGATTCCTTTGTCATTTTGATAGGAATCAGTAGTACTCAAGGTGGATCTACACTATACTCACAAGGACAGTAATGTGCGGCACACAGAAAGCCGGCAGGTGGACATTGGAAAGCCTCTGGTTGCGTCCTGTAAGCTGTACAGGGAGAATCACACGAGAGACAAAAAAACAAACGGTGCTACAGCTCAAACCACAGGCAACATTTCACACAGCAAATCACAGCAGCATCAGAATCTGGCTGCTCCGCATCGACATTTCACCAGAAAGGCAGAGTGCGCTGCCAAAACTCCAACTGCATGGAGCAATGAACCTGAAGAGAACGATGAGAATGAACTGCTGGATTTCCGACCATCTGAGTAAATACTGTAAAGCTTTTTCTTTTCTTTTTTTTCCTGTTTTTTTTTTTTTTTTACAGTATTTGATAATGCATTTTGTCTGTAATTGATGATAATAAGTAGACTGAGAAGATTTATACTCTGCTTATGTTTGTTTTCATTGCAGAACATAAATGGATAAAATACATAAATGTAAAGAAATTTTAAAAGATGACTGTAATATTTTTGATTTTTTTTTTTCTTGTGAAGAACACTTTTTATTTCAGTGGCAAACTGGCTGGCCTATTGAATACATTACTTTAATAATTTATCTCATAAACAGTACTACCTTAATCTCTGCATTGTGGAACTTTAGAAAATATTGTGATATGTAGTTCTTTTTTGTTTTAACATAAGAATAAATGCTGTAGTTTCTCTTAATAAGGAGATTTCTCATTCAGTTTGTTTTTGAACAATTAAACCACATTAGTAAGCTGAATTTAATTTCTCCCTCACAAAATCCACACGATAATAAATGTGAAAGTCAAATATGTTAACAAAACTTGTTTTTCATTAGGGAATTTGTACATTTTTGGATACTGTGTGGTAAGCTTATTTCATGAGGGAGGTCTTGAGTTCATTTGACCACATTACTGTGCAGTGCCTTGAAAAAAAATCTTCATACACCTTAAACTTTATAACTTTAATGCATTTCTTAGGATTTGAAATGGAAAAGTTTCTCCAAATTGAAATCTGAAAAGTATTTTTAGTCGTCTGCCCTAACCTCTGTTACTCAAAATAAGAACCTGTGGAATCACTTAGTAAATATAAGCCACTTGTGTGCAATTTAAACTCAGCATAAATAAAGTTTATTTTAGATGGCTTTAAAGGTTTATTAAGGAACATTAGAGGATTAGCAACATCATGAAGAAGAAGGCACACTATAGAAAGGTCAAAGTTAAAAAGTTGTGGAGAGGTTTAAAGCAGGGATGGGTTTTAAAAGAATTTCCCAGGCTTTGAACAAGTGATTCAAGCACGGGAAATGTATTGCACAACTGCAAACCAAACAAAGATGTGCTTATCTCCCTAATCCCAGGAAGTAGTAAAAAGGCTCACTACACCCCCTGGTGGAGTTGCAGATGTCCACAGATCAGGTGAGAGAATCTGTTAATTTTGTGCACTCAAATGCAATGGTGCATTATGCTGTAGAAATGTTAGCTTTTGCAGAAATATGATGAAATTGCTCAGAGCTGATGAAAAGATGGAAGGAACTGAATAGAGTAAACTCCTGCAGTTGTTTTTTTTTAGAGGTTGCAAAAAACTGCAGACCGAGGCAGGGTTCACATAAGGACAATGAATATAGTAAGACAGCTATAATGGTTTACCAGTAGATAAATTTCCCAATTAAAGAATTTGCATTTGTAGAAAAAGATGAGACAAAATGTGAAAAAGTTCAAATGAGTAGAAATACTTTTTGCAAGGCACTGTGATAAAAATAATCAACTTACAGTTCGTCAAAATGGCCCAAGTCATTTTTTTTGCCAAAAGTAATTTTGCCTACATCACCTTGGCAATAAAAAGGGGATGATTTCAATGCCAAAATCACTTATTGCAAAAAAAGAGGTCATTATTTTAGGACGAATTATTTGGTATAATTACCAATGTTACCAATGTTAATAAATAATTTGACAATATTATTTATTAACAGTATTAACAATATCCTGAGTTATTAACCGCATTTATTCACATGAAAGAGAAATGTCTGGGCGTTTGTCTGGCTACTAAATGTATCATTAGCTAGCCAAAGTTGCAAAATCTTGTAACAGCGTCAAAAGATTAACGAGTTTTACTTTCATCTAGAAGCGAGTCGAAGTAAAGCTACAATTTATTTTGAAGATGATTAAAGCAGTTACTTACCTTTCTTATCTCGATGTGCAGCAAGTCAAAATAAAGCAAATTAACTTTCGAGGTGCACGCTGCTGACTGATATGAAATAATTTTACAACGTCTAAAACATTTTACATAACACAATAGTTGGACCTTTGTCGCTACATGTACTTTAATTTGAAGCCCGGATCCCCAGCTCTGGCTATAGCTCGCCGTGATCGTATAGTGGTTAGTACTCTGCGTTGTGGCCGCAGCAACCCCGGTTCGAATCCGGGTCACGGCAAGGAGATTGGAAGTCTTCCGGGCATCATTTTTCAATTGCAAAAACATTATTTTCTGAACATATCTCGCCACATTTTTATTATTAATGGGAACTTTTGTTGCACACAATTTATTAGATAGCTTTTTCATTCATGGTAGTCTCATGGTGACATTAATTAGGTACAAAATAACGACAATTAATTCGACTGATGTGTGCTCCAATACACACATCAGTCAATTTCAGGTCAACTTCAATGTACGACCTGCAGGTGGCAGACCAATCCACTTCATTTTCATTCTGTGACACAGAAACACCTGAGGTCAGGGGTTTGGGGGTCAACCTTGTGAGGGTTTATTGCAAACCAGAAAATCAAACTGGTAGCTTGTTTTAAATACATTTCTTTTACGCGTAACTCCTTACAAGGATGTCTTTTTTAAAAAAATGGTTTTGATCCCACACAAAATTATTTATTTATATCTCGACACAAAAGAGTCTTGGTTCTCTTGGGTGAATGAATCTGGGTAAAAATAATAGTGTAATGAGTACAGGTAAAAAACAAAAAACAAAAACGAATTGTCCTATTTATGATTGTAAACCCGTATTGTGGCTATGCAGATAGCTGTGTCAGAGAAGCTGCAGCGTTGAAAAAAAAAAAAATCAGTATTGGAAATAATCCTAAAACCCAGACAAAACGCCTCACTCTCCTGTTGGCTCACTTTGACGTCAGTTTGCATTGGGACCCGCCCGCCTGCCGAAGTGGCAGCGGTGAATGGTGAGAGATAATCCTTTGCTCGACCACAGACACACACCATCCCCCGAGCTGCCTCCTGGATCTGGCTCCGGATCTGGATGCGGGCATCCTTTGGATTTTACGCTTAACAACACGGACCCCCACTGCAAAGAAAACTTAATCGGGACAACAATGGTGGCTGAATACGCGGCTGCTGGCCGTTTAGGGGACCGGGGAGTGCGCTCCGTGTGACATTCACTTGCACGCTGGTGTGGAGTTTTTATTGTTCTGGTCCCGTAGACGCAGAGGCACAGCGGCGAATCTGTGGAGAAGATGTTGAGCCGATTCATGAGTGGCAGCCTCAGGAATCTGGAGCGGGAATACAGCTGCACTGTCAGGCTGCTGGACGATTCAGAATATACGTGCACCATTCAGGTTAGTCACCTGTCGACCGCTCCGCAGAGGACCGAATAGTGCTGCAATTGTGTCTGCTCCTGCGAGTGTTTGAACAGAGGATCAGTGCCTGAAAGCCACAATGCTGGCGTTAACTCCCACCAAAAACATCCAAAAATAGTGCAGTGTGTTTACAAATCTGCAGTGGAGGGAGGCATTTACCCACTGTTGCTTTAACCGTCAATGAGAATTATGTTGTTTTTACCCATTATTTACAAAATAGTTCAAGCTCATATTGGGTGGAGAAGACACCTTATAATTTTTTAAGTCCTGACGCAAGATTTTCAGTCTTGATCCAGATCGTTTCCCTGTACAGCTCTGGCTGTATGTTTTGGGTCGTTGTCTTCCGGTCCAGGTCTTTTGCATACTATGAAAGGTTCCCTTGCAGGATTGTCCTGTATTTGTTTCCAGCTGTGTTTCCATGAACTCTGACTGGTTTCTCTGCTGACAAAAAGCATTCCCCTCAGCATGATGCGTCCACTGCCATGTGTGATCTGAATGATGTGTAGACAGCCAGACCATATTGTGTTTCAGAAGGTTAGAAAGTTTGGTTTTGGTCATGTGTGAGCAGAGTCAATTATTCTTCTCCATGTTTGTACTGTAGAACTTCATAAGTTTGCTTCATGATACCTAAAAACCAGTTGCCTTAAGATGGTTGTTGATGTGTAATGAAAGCATGGAATTCCGTACTTATTTAAATGATGTGTCTCCCATTTTATGTCAGTTTATTTGCCACTGGTTTTCGTTTGTCCATTCAGTTTTCCATGCAGTTTTCCATTAGTTCCACACGTTAAGTAGACAAAGGCAATCCCATGAAATAACTCTGAAGTTGGACATTGCTAATCTACATTCTTCCAAAATGAACGTTACCGAAGTGTAGCTGTCACATTTATTTATCTATTTTTTTAATAACACCAAGTAGAAAAACTGGATTTTCTCAGAGAAAACATGCTGCTTTGAAACTTAAAACAAGCCAGCAATCTTTCAGAATGCTTCCCTGAGCCATTTGTCTCTGACAGCCTTGCTTTGATAACTGTGCAGGTTCTGTGTTCATGCCGATTAGACAAAAAAGTAGGTGAGAGGACCTGTCACTTCAATTTCTAGCAAAAACGTTTCAGTTTGTTGATGCTTTTTAGTTGTAAGAAATGGGAAAAGCCATCATTAGAGACGCTCTGCACATCACAAATAGATCTTTGCACCTGTCAAACAATGAAACGCTGATATTAATAAGTCTTGCCACTGCAATGTTGTCAACAGGTTATACTGTAATTGCTCCTCTTCTCCCCAATAAGCCACGGTGAAATGGACACGAAATTTACTGTAGTGCTGCGGGAGTGCGCCTAGGTTGTAAACAGACCTGTATTTGTGCTTAGAGAGCTGAGCAAGTGATGGAGCTGGGCCAGATGGACTGTGATACCAGCAGGTGTGCTGTTTGCAGCAGAGTCGGGTAGCTGACGTCACCGGAGTGGATGGAGGGGCAGCAGGGAGCAGAGTGAAACAGGAGAATGCTCCGGCTCTGCCGTGACTGTCTGGCATCCTGATTATCTTTCCGTCAAAACCCCGTCCTGTAAGGGAGCAAGATAATCCACCTGACTGGCCACATTACTTATGTGTGTTCCACATTCAGCTGCTTCCCTCCAGGTTTTATGGCCTGCCAAGGGAAAGGCGAAAAAAACAAAACAAAACAAAAAAAAAATAAAAAAATATCAGGACACTGAGACTGGGGAATGCAAAGTAAGAGGCGGGTCATAGATTCTCAAAGCCGCACTTTATTCTCTCTCTCTGTGTTCCAGTCTCTTTCTGTCCTGCTTCTGTATTTGTCCTAGCCTGTTTTCAGAGTGCAGTGAGCTTTTTTTTTCCAGTAGGTACTTGATTCCATCACACTCTGACTCTCAGCCAAAACTTTTTTTAATGGCTCCATTCTCACATTTGCTCCTGGCTTAGTTCATCATCCTACCATTGTTTTGCCTTGAATTTCCTACCTTGTAATATTTTTAGTTACTTCCTGTATCTCCTGCATGTTACATCCACCTTCAGTAGAATTTGCAAGTACAAAATTAGACTCAGCAGGACACAGGAGGTTTTTGCCAGTTGGCCATCTTTTTAGTGCACTCTCAGCCATGATGGGTGAACCTTAGTTTTACTTTAATAAATTATAGAGATTTCCAATATGCTGAGGGTAGAAAAGCAAGCACTTATAATTACGTAGGCCACTAGAAGTAGATACCATCCAAGCTGCAGGTTGAATGAAGAGCTTCAGGTCTTCTTTGCTTTGTGATTTCTGTCGATCTGCGGAGCACAATCAACTGTTTAGCAGTTTCCTAATAAAAATGATTAATTGAATACATTGGGTAAGCCCAATAAAAACGCTGAATACATATTCAACATTTTTATTCTTTTTCTTCAGTGAACATGCTGCATATTTAACGAGTTTTGAACTTTTCATTCAAAATAGTTTTTATTGAAGTACCGTTAATCATTTTTCAGTTTCTTATTTTGCCACATAAGATTTGTTATTATTAATAAAGATGGCCTTTGTGATATCACATGCAATTGTTAAAAATTTCTGCACTGTTTTTTCCCCTCTGTGCTTCTTGAACCCTTTGTAAGCTCTGGTATGGACACTATGCTCTATCGAGTGTTGCCACAGACACCAGAAACTCCATTCAATAGGTTAAATATATTATTGACATCCTAAGTGTGAAATTGTGATATCTGGGGTGCATTTTTAAACAATTATTGCATGCCAAATGTTATTTTTGCACATATCCGCACATGAGAAAAAGTGGGACATTTTGTAAAACATTAAGTGCCAAAAAAAAGAAATGCCTGATCATTTTGCCTCCATTGTCAAATCTTATCAAGTTCAATCTTTCAGCCTTTCAACACATTAGATCTTCCATTACTTTTGTGATAGCAGAAGTTGATTTCATTTTCTCATATGGTGGGCAACGGTGGTGGAAGTCTGTTTTATAACCAATGAGTTGCTGGTTCAGACCCCAGCTCTGTCTGTCTCAGTCAATGTGTCCTTGAGCAAGACACTTCACTCTGTCCAACTCTTCAGCCACTTTAAGCATTTGGGCGTATTAGTCTTCATCAGTGCAGAGAGAGTGTCTGCACAGTGTATCAAGATATTAAATAATGTTATACTCTCATTCCGAAGAGATTCTCATAACAGTTTTGTAACATTTTCTAACAGTGGTGTCTATATGTGTTTTTGTTGTTGTGTCTTTAAGTTGCAACAATTACGATCAAATATGCATAGGTGGATTTCTTGGAAAATATTACAGTATTAATTGACAGAGAGGACATTGATTGATTCTTACATCTCCAGATGACAGTAACCCTCGCTCCATGTGTCCAATTATACAATTATCTCTCTTAGATGAAACTTGTACTGAAGAACTTAATGAGAAAGATTGAAAGTACACAATAAATTCTACTCTGTGTGTGTTTTTTTTCTGGTTGTATAATAAGCAGTTCTTTTCAGTAAATCTTGCTTTAGTGTGCTTGTTCTGCTTATGCCACTTATTTTACCCCAACAAAAAATGAGGAGACAATAAAATAATAATGCTTTCTAGGTTAGTGCCTTGAATAAAGAAAACCTTTGAACATTATCTGGAGCTGTGCAGACATCTTGAGTGGAGCCCATTGGGGGATGGGACACTGTGTATTGAGGGGTGCTTCACTTTGAAGCAGGATGCCAGTGCCTCAGCTGTTGCTCCGGTGACTGTGGAGTTACGCTGAGAAATTGTGGGATCACTCAGTGGTCAGGACCTCTTTTAAAACTACTGGCAAGCACTGGTGCTTTCCATACTGGAATGAGAGGACACAAGTGGTCATCTGTCCACATCAGCTCAGACATTCCTGAAACTGCCCCACTGTTCCCATTAAACAACTCGGTCTTATAACTTTAGATAACAGAAATTCCTGGCAGTAATTTTGACACTTGGGAGTTATTTGGATTATCTACGGTTTCATGTGAAAATAAAGATGTATTCTTTACTCTTATTCTGAATACATTGGAGACATTCAGTGCCAACATATCTCTTATCTACTTCTAGTTCTCTTTTATTGGAAGAAGAGTGTGAAGAATAAAATTAAAAGCAACTGAAGCTAATTTAGATTATCACAGTTTTATAATTGGTGGATTTTTTTTCGACAAAATTGTTGTTTTACTTTGTGTTGCATTGATTTCCTTCATCTTAAAGTATGATGATTTTTGTTTATTTTATCCCACAGATAAGTTTGTATAAAAATACAGTTGAAAATGTTAATGGGATAAGAAACAGAAGCAAAGGGGAAAGGCTAGCAAATGAAGTGTGTCCTGATAAAATGTATTCTGATGACATGTCTTCAACTTATCCTCTAAAAAATTACTTGTTTACGTCATTCTGTACCCAATTGATACAACTATCTGTGTGATTCTGAATCTAAGCAGTTTTTACCTTTGATCTGTTTAAAAGCAAGATAGTTACAATCAAAATCTCAAATTAGAAGGTTCAAGGTAATAGTCTCCAAACATTGTGATGGAGTCCGTCTTGCCTATGTCTTGAATTTGCTTTCATGCACACTTTTGAATCTTAAACTAGAAACCAAAGTTGAAGGAGGACATGGGCAGAAGCTGCACGTGCTACATGTTGTTCCTCCTTGCCTTCTGGACACAAATATATCAGTGACAAAAATATAATATTTAAGCTTAGCTCACCTACAGTGGCAGAATAGAAATGTTTGTTTATGTGTATTCCTCATAGTGGCCGATTCCGTCTGAATGTTTCATGAGATAGAATCTCAGGGGAATATTACGTCTCTTTACCAGCATCTGTGCTCAACAGCTGATTGGCTGAAACCTGTGAAGCATGATTTGTGGCAATTAAGGATTGCTTCAATTTGTATCTAAATAGCAGATCCTGTCAGAAAAATTTAGACTCCTTCATTGGGAGTTGATATGGGAGCGATGACTTTTGCCAGTCGCACTTTGC